GGCTGCCTGCCTGTAAGAGGGCAGGCAGGGGTGATGCCCACACTAACGGGGGCGTGCAGGCAGGGGTGACCCCCCCCCCCTTCCCTGCCCTCACCTGGCATAGTCGATGGGGGTCCGGCCGTTCACATCGGGCGCCCCGGGGTCGGCGCCGTAGACCACCAGCAGCTCTGCCTGCAGGATCTGCCCGGCCTTGGCAGCCACGTGCAGCGGCGTGGTGCCCTTCTCCTGCGGGCACGGGCAGCCTCAGCCCCGCAGCCTGCCCACGGGATGGGGCTCCAGGACCCCCTCCCAAAGCCCAGCACCGTCCCCAGGGACCCCGATCCCCACCCGCGCTCACCGGGTGGAAGAAGTTGGCCTGGGCGCCCAGCGAGAGCAGGCGCAGGCAGGTCTCCAGGTTGCCTGTCCGCACGCTTGAGTGCAATTGCTGCGGAGGAGAGAACCAGTAAGGGGGGGAATCTGTCCCCACCGCCAAGGCAGGGGGTCCCTGCACCCCCGCCCCATGCCCCACCTTGCTGAGGTCCTTGGCAGTGACGCCATCGTCATCCCGGCAGGGCAGCTTGTGGACGAAGGCCAGCATCTGGTACTTGGCACGGATGAACTCCGACTTGGTGGGGCTGGGGGGAGCGGCAGGTTGCGGGGTGAGGGAGGGACGCCCGGCCAGCACAGACCCCCTCCCCACGGCACGGGGGGCACTTACTGCACTTTGTCCTGGGGGTTTGCCTTCCGGCGCCCGCTCTGCACCTGGGCCGGATCCAGCAGTGAGTGCTCCCAGATGGAGTTGGCCCCATTGCTGGCCAAGGTGTGCACCATCTGCAGGGGAGAGGCAGGGCCCGGTGGGTGCGGGGGGTCCCTGTGTGTGTCCCCCAATGTCCCCGCAGGGCCGGCACCCACCTGGAGCAAGGTGGCGGGCCAGGGGCTGTGGCGCAGGTGCTTGACAATGGAGATGTGGCGGCCCAGGCTGCGGTGCACGCTGCAGCACTCGTCGCAGATGAGCACCCCGCGGTTGATGGAAGCCCAGCCGGGGTCTGCAGGGTGGCACAGGGGGTGTCACTGGGTGTCCCCGCTGCCGTGGTCCCCTCCCCATCCACACCGCTGCTGCCGAGTGGTGGTGGTGGGGATGCGTTGCCACAGCAACCGTTTCCCTGGCGACAGCGAGGGGCTCAGCCCATCGCCAGGGGAAACCCACAGGTTTCCCGTAGCAACCAGGCACCAGCCAAAAGGGGGGGGCCAGGATTTGGCCTCCCCCATCAGGAGGGCGGCCGGTGGCAGGGAAGATGCCAGCCTCGTGGCAGGGACGATGCCAGCCCCATGGGAGCGCACCCCCCCCAAGCAGCGCACCCCCTGACTCGCTGCAGCACCCGGCGAGGCCATGCACCCCCTGAGCCCCAGGCTGGGCAGTTGGGGGAGGGGCCTGGATGGGGGCAGCATCCCCCCAGTGCCTGG